CCCCAAAACCCCAAAACCCCAAAACCCCTTATTTCTTAATAAGTTTGAGAGCTTTATGGCTAAATCGTCTGCATCAACTTCTTCGTGTCACCGAAGAGAAGTTTATTGAACGGCATGTATATAGCCTTTCCTTTCAGTTCTTCGATATTTTCAAGGTCTTTATCGAATTTGGCTTTGAACTTTCCACTTTTACCGAAGGCGCCCGTAATACGACCGATTTCTCCTGTCTCTTCAATAACTATTTTCATGTTGATAAAGGGAGTTACTGGGGTTTCTTTATTAAACAGATTCCTGCCAATTATATTTCTCTTGTCGTTTACTTTGTCTATAATTCCTTCCTTTCTTTTCTCTTTTGTTATTTTGAAGTTGTTCTTATAATCCTCATTAGAGTCATTATAGGTCTCTAGAATTTGACCACTAAAGGCTAATCTTCACTCCTTTTTCTCAATTTCTGCATCTAGCCGAGAACCGATAAAGATACTGTTGATAGGAGCTCAAACAATAGGAACGTCAAAATACATTAGAGCATAAATGTGTGACTGGAGTGGTAAAATATCTGGCTTTGGAGGAACTCCAGGCTTAGTTGCCTTCTTTGGTAACTTGTCAGAATATTTATGGATTGTATTGTAAACATACTCGACTTCTGCTTTTGATGACTCTGATTCGTATCCATAAAACCCAAATTTTTCCTCTTCTTCCTCTCCTTTAATTTCTTCAAGTTTGCTTTCTTCTCCAGGAACATTGTAAAAGAAAATGGATGATCCTAAAACAGTCTGATGACCAATTGTGATATGATATTTCGTGTTAGAGGGTATCTCTGATTTGAAGTGTCTAATACGAGCTACTTTAGCCAAAGCAATAGTGAAATGATTAGACTTTCCTGGAGCTCAGACAATTCCTCTCTCGAGATCTTTTGGGTCTAATTTAGCCACTCAGATTCCAACTCTGTCTCCTTTAAGGGCTTTATCAACAGGTTTTCTAAACATTTGCATTGATTTAACCTTCTTGGATTGCATTAGAGAGGAGATTTCAATATTATCTCCATTTTCTACCATACCTCTCAGAACTGTCCCAGTAATGACGGTTCCATGACCCTTAATGGGAAATCAATGATCCACAGAGAACATGAAATCATCCTTATTATGCTTCTTGCCTCTATCTGGAAGTTCAATATCACTCAGAAGTTCATTCAGGAGTCCATCCAGGTTCTGGTCAATATCCTCACTCTTAGGATTTGCTGACACAAAGACTATCTTGATTGATGTAAATTTGGTCTTTGAGAATACTGTGTCGAGGTTCTTTCTAATTTTAGCAATTTTCTCGTCTCTTTCTTGATCACTTTCTGCTTCAATGAGATCAATTTTATTAACAACGATGCAGAGTTTCCTCATGAGAAGCTCACCGAGTACTATACATTCTGAAGTTTGAGCCTGGATTCCTTTAGTAGCATCGATCACAAGGATCATGTAGTCGATAATAGATGCACCCCCGATGACCGTCTTCATAAGTGAAGCATGCCCAGGACAATCAACTAGGGTGATCTGGAGGAACTTTTTATCACTAGTTTGCATGGATTCAGGAATCTCAATAACAAATGCAGAGAATCCTAGATCTAAGGTAATCCCTCGTTCTTTACTCTGTGGATTTTTATCAAACCCTGCAGTGGACCCAATCGTGCTGAGAGCTTTGGCAAGAGAGGTTTTGCCACTATCGATATGGCCAAGAATACCAATGTTAATGTTAAGTGTCTTTTTCGGGGTGAAGTCTTCACGAGAGTTGTCTATTCTTTCGATATGGGTTTCCATTTTAATCAATATATTATTGCAAAATAGGGGTTTTGGGGTTTTGGGGTTTTGGGGTTTTGGGG